CCCCAAAACCCCAAAACCCCAAAACCCCGGAATGAAAGATTTTTGAAGAATTATAGATTAGTAAATAAGATAATTTATTGATAATTATTTTATTTACCATTATGTATAAGATTTCATAACAGATACTTAGATACTCTAACAAAGCAAGTAGAGCTAGCTTCTCCACCGGAAATTATCGAGTTAAGTCAGCATCTTCTTCCTCACTTGGATTCAATCATGAAGATTTACACCAAATGCCAGAGCTTGATAGATCTTTTATGAAAGTGCTTGGTCCTGAGTGCGACACTCAATCAGATTTTTACAAGCAGAATTACGAAGCAATGTAAAAGGTAAATGATGAACTCGATACTATTACAAAGCAAATGATGCACATCGATGATAAATATAAGGAAATTGCTAAAAAAAGAGATAAGAAGCAAGCCAGAGAAAGAATCAATGCAATTATTGATCACGGTTCTCCCTTCCTTGAGTTATCATAATTAGCTGGCTACAAGTAGCTAGGAGAGGATTCAATTCCATCAGCTAATGTTGTGACAGGAATTGGAATGGTTAATGGCAGACAATGCATGATTATATCTAACAACCATGCTTTCAGAGCTGGAACATATTTCCCACTAACTGTCAAAAAGCATATCAGAGCACAAGAAATTGCTGAAGAAAATAACCTTCCATGTGTTTATTTGGTTGATTCAGGTGGTGCATATTTACCAGAGTAAGATGATGTCTTTCCAGACAAAAATCATTTCGGCAGAATATTTTTCAACCAAGCAAGAATGTCAAGCAAAGGAATACCCTAGCTTGCTATTGTGCTTGGAAGTTGCACAGCAGGAGGAGCCTATATTCCATCTATGAGTGATGAAGTAATTATGGTTCACAAAAAAGGTACTGTCTTCTTGGGAGGACCTCCCCTTGTCTAAGCTGCTACAGGAGAAATTGTGACAGATGAAGATTTAGGAGGAGCTACACTTCATTCTGAGCAATCTGGAGTTAGTGATCATATTGCTTACAATGAAGCTCATGCTTTCCAACTAGCGAGATCTATTCTTTCAAACATCGGAACTAAATCATACTATCTTGATAATTCTCATAATAGAATTGCTCCAGAAGAACCTCTCTACTCCCAAGATGAATTAAATGGAATTATTTCAGTTGATCACAAGAGAAATATATCAATGAAAGGAGTTCTGGGAAGAGTACTAGATGGATCAAGATTTCATGAATTTAAGGAGAGATATGGAAGTTCTTTACTCACAGGTTTCGGCCATCTCTATGGCCACCCAGTTGGAATCGTAGCTAATCAAGGTGTTCTTTTCTCAGAAAGTGCTCAAAAAGGTGCCCATTTTGTTCAAATGTGTTCTTAAAGGAAAATTCCACTTCTTTTCTTATAAAACATCACAGGATTTATGGTTGGGAAGAAATTTGAAAGTGAAGGAATTGCTAAGCATGGTGCTAAGATGGTTTCTGCAGTTGCAAATGCTAATGTGCCTAAGATTACTGCAGTACTTGGAGCAAGCTATGGTGCAGGCAATTATGGAATGTGTGGAAGAGCTTACAGTCCCAGATTCATGTATATGCTTCCTTCTGCTAAAATTTCAGTCATGGGAGGTTAATAGGCAAGTGAAGTATTGAGCTTGGTCAGATTTAGAGGAGAAAAGGACCAAGATAAGATCAATAAATACAAAGGAGAAATTCAATAGCAATATGACAAGCAAGGCAGTGCTTATTACTCAACAGGAAAACTCTGGGATGATGGAATTGTAAAGGCAGCCGATTTAAGAAGAGTGCTTGGAATGAGTTTAGCTGCATCTCTAAACCAAAAGATTGAGGACACTAATGCAGGAGTATTCAGATTCTGAGGAATATTAATGGGAAACTCTATTTCCAGCATCAAAATTTCTCTTAATCATACTCAAAGAGAAATAATATTAATCTCTTCGCTATTTAATTGTATCAAAGCACAATATCGATTGAATTTGCACATTTTGGGGTTTTGGGGTTTTGGGG